ATGTGCTATTTGTTGAAATAAGAAAAAATCAACAACAAAAGTGGAAACAATGAGAAAATAAAATGATTTGTTGAGGATTAAAAGATTTTAACTTTTCTTTTACTCTCTTTTTATTAAAAAAATGTAGATTTTTTTCTTTAAAGAATTGTGATTTCAAATAATTAAAATATAAAAAACATTATAACTTTATAATAAAAAATATTAACCCGCACAAATTTCCTAGTATATAAATTACAGATGATTAAATTTTCTTTAATAGTTCTCTAAATTGTGGTAATTAGCAAGTTACTGCCGGTGAATGGCTTTTTTCGCACGTGTAAAGAACGGATGATTTTGTTAATTGTTGTACTTCACTCAGCTGTGACTGCCCACGACAGGACAACTTGAAAATCTTTGCTAAATCTCCTCGGAAATTAACTTTTTTTTTTTTACATATCGATTTGTGTAAAATTTTGTCATCTTATATCAACAATTTGAAATTTGGATAAAAGGAAAAGGAAAACGAATTTCCTCGATAATATTCAAACACTAAAATATTAGAATCCGTTGGCTTATTATTTTAAAAGATAAATCAAAACTATTAAGTGCGATAAATCTAATGCCAAAGATTACATTATTTATGTTCCTTTTGATTAATACTTTTTTTTATAAAAATGACTAAAAACCCAAAAACAACTAGTAAAAATAAAAATTTTAATCAAATAAAAATTTAATTAATTTTGACAACATGATAGTATTAGCTACACTTCATGTGAGAAAATGAGAAATATTTTTCTCCTTAACAAGTAGGGGAAGGGAGTATTTTTGTTAATTAAGGATAAAAGATAGTGCAATAATATTTATTCTTCTTATTTAGAATTTATAATTATTTAAAAAATTAGAAAGTAATTTATATATATGTATATATATATTATATAAAGTATTTCGCGTTTGAGAGTGTAATCCCTTGATGAATTGCTAATCAAGGCAATGAAAAAAAAAATTGTCATCAACAATAGTTGTGTTTGATTTGAGTTTTTTGTCTAAAAAATACAAAAATTTATTTTCTTGAAAGTTTATAATAATTTGTGTAAATTATTTGCTTCAATAGTAAATTAAATAAGTTCTTAAATTATTTAAATAAATTTAAATAAATATTTTTTATTATATTCAATCAAGTTCGTATATTTTTATTTTAGATCAAATAAGCCTTTATTATTAACGATTGATTAATTACTATTAAGCAAAATGGTATTGATGTGAAATATGAAAAATGTTATATAGTCATATTTTTATACTAAATTAGTATGTCACATTATCATCAATAACAATATGTCAATATATTACATTATTATCAATAATAATACATCAATATATTATATTATCATCAATTATGATATATTAGAATGTCATGTCAGCGTTACATGGCATGTAATAACAAATGACATTTTCACTAAGTCAATAATTAGTTATAAAAACTTATTTAATTCAAAATAAAAAATATAAAAGTTTATTTGATACAAAATAAAATATAAGGGTTTGATTGATAAAAATTTATTTGAATTTTTTAAAATAGTTTAGAGACTTTTTTTATGTTATATCAAAAATGAAATTTGAATATTCTTTTCTTAATTAAAAAATATATATATTTTGGGGTAATTTATTGCCTCAATGGCAATGGAGAGGAGATCTTGATATTGCTACACATTGGGGTCTTCGGTTTGACAACAAGAGTCACGATCCACCAAAAATTATTTACTGGTAGCAACCATTGATAGATGAGTTTAAGTTGAATGTCAATGGTAATTTCAAAGATGCCTTTTAGAATGTTGCCAAGTGGAGGAATTCTTCGAGACCACACAGGTACTACGATTTTTGGCTTTTCAAAAAATTTTGGACTTTGTAATTCATTACAAGCAGAATTTATGACATTACATCGAGGTTTGCTTTTATGTATTGAGTACAATGTATCTAGAGTTTGGATTGAAATGGATGCAAAAGTGGTTGTACAAATGATACATGAGGGACATAAAGGTTCCTCTCAGACTCGATATTTGCTGGCCTCCATCCGAAAATGCTTGAGTTGTATTTCTTTTCAGATTTCACACATTCATAAAGAAGAGAACCAAGCTATATATCATCTCTCTAATGAAAGGTATACACATAAGAATCTGCATATATTTTCACAAGCTGAAGGTAAACTCCAAGAAATTCTTGGATTAGACAATTTAAATTTATTTATGTTCGATTTAAATAAATATAAAGAAATAGTACTCCTAATTTATAATTTCATCTTTCTTATATAATCATGTACTAAAGTAATATTACTTTCCAGATGCATTCTAAAAAACTATGCATGGGAAGTACTATTTTTACTAGGTGCATTTTTTTTTTCGATCATGGTTTTCATGTAATTCTGGATGTCCCCTTCCTTTTGTACCTTTATTTTTAATTAATAAAATTTACCAAGGTAGTTGGACCTTAAGAGAACTTCCAACATTAAAAAGAAAAAGGTCTTAAGTGACTTAAATTAAGGTACAAGTACTTAGAATAATTCCTTAAAACTCCTCGTTTGGGCGTGGAAAATAGTTTAAATTTGAAAACTTATATCCCACACTTTTTTTATTAATTGAACAATTATATCCCACTTGTTCTAAATTTAAAACTAAATCAAACAAAAGCAAGTACCTTTGAAAATGTCTGTATTATAATTTCCAATCATCACATATGTGTTTAAATAGCAAAGAGTCATAAAGTCCAAAAGTAGGCAATGGTTGTGATTGTCGGCGTAGGAGCTCATCCAATTAGGTAGTTTCATAAATCCCCAACTAGGTGAAAATTGGCATCACTGAAATTTTTTGGTAATTTCCTTTCAAACTCAATTAGGAGAAAAGGGGCTTTTCCCTTCAACCAAATCCTACTAACATTTGGGCTAAACCCCTTCAATAAGTCAGAAACACAGAAACTCGCTCTCGGTAACAAATTGCAAACAAAGCCCAAGGGTGGCTTGAAACCCAACTCATATCATATTTATATAATTAATTACACATATTTAGACACACAGAAGTTTTTTTTTTGGGAGAATAGACTCACATAAGTTATATTATACATAATTAAGAAAATTAATTTACATTGAATGTTAGAATATATATGTTCGTATTTCTTGCGTCACATAAGCTAAAAACTAACTATTATATTATATCATATATTTAAACTACTTTAAAAAATTATCATAAATAACTTTCAAAGTGTGAACAATAATTTACTTCTTTATGCATTTCATAAATAAATTCAAAAAAAATATAATTTGACTTTTATTTATGTTCATTTTTTCATAAAAATTTTGCTAACAAGTAATGTAAGAACACTTTTCAAGATTGTTATATTAAATAATATAAAATTAAAAAGAATATAAATTTTTAGATTGTGAAGTGATTTTTCTTGTCTCTTTTGCCTGCTAATTGCATAGAGGCCCGCACGAATCCAAGTCATTACCTTGTATCGTATATTTTTATAATAATAATTTAATATGACTATTACTATGCTTTTTTGTTTCTTATTGTATTTTTATTTTTTCTTATTTATCACAAATTACCATTATGCCATGCATGATATTATTTTTTTACAAAACGTAAATGGGAGGATAACAATAATAAGACGAAAGAAATTGAAAAAGTTATTCCTTTTTGTTCTCGTTTATATTATCATTCTAGCACTTAAAAAATATCTTAGTCCTCCTGTTATTTTTAAATATATATTTTTATTTACTTTTGTCATAATTTCTTGAAAATAACTTGATTCCTCAAACAAACGCTTTTAAATTTTATTTTTTAATTTTCTTTTTTTTCCTTTTTAAGACACTTTAAATTTTGTAAAAAATAAAAAAAATAGACAAGATTATAAAATGAGTACATGTAGCATACAATTCGAGAATCCTACGAGTGTTCCTTTTTTGGTATTAATCTCCAAAGCAAAACTTTCTATGAAAATATGACACATTTTATCTTAATTTTAAAATTAAATAATTTATTTATTTTTGAATTTTATGTAAAAAAATAGAATGTGGAAGACAAATCAACTGATGTTTAATGAATGTATACCTTTATCTTTTAAAAGATTTTTTGTACATATAAGATATTATTATATTTTGAATTATATAATAGAATTTTCATCTTATGAAATGTTCATATTTTTCATTAAAGAAGACAATGAGTATCTAGTATAAAATACTTTACATTATTTGACTTAATTAAATAAGATTAAAATATCTTATAATCAGAGTTTGAATAATAAAACTACTAATCATCATAGGTTTGGATAATGATGGTAACTATCCACTATTTGAATTCAATTATAAGTAATAATTTTTAATATTAAATTTTAATTATATATATTACTTTTTATTTATAAATTTTTTATAATTAATATAATACATACTAAAATTCATTAATTGTTCTAATTATAATTGTAAACTTTGATTTTATTTGTATGAATTAAGTTTAACTTATTAATTTATTTTTTATTAATAATATACCTAAAAATTAATTTTAATTTTATTTTAATGGAATATTTAATGGATTCAAATATTTAAGGAATAGTATTTAGGATTTCTAAAAAAAAAGAATAGTATTTAGGATAGTGAGAGATGAGTTCAGACAATAATTTTAAAATTTAATCAAATATTTATAAAATTTAGATATTCAATCAAATAATAGAATTTGAGATAAGATATTTAAAAAATAGCAAGTATCTTACACATTGACATTCATATTTTATGAGCATTTACAAATAGAAAAAAACCAGATACTAAATTAGTTATATTAACCTTTAAAGCGCTAATAAAAAATAAACAATACTTAGTAATAGCACTATCGATTCATTGCTTTTACCTATATATAAAAAAACAAAGGAATTTCAAAGGATCACATTAAATTTTTAGAAGTCGTAATAATGGCAAAGCTATTGGGGTGGTAAGGTAATTGCACCTCAGATCTAAGCGGGACGCTCCACTCGCTGCTTCAATTCACGCGCCATCTCATTTCGTCTTCGGGACAGGAGCAACGAGAGCCAGAAAGGGAGTGTAGAGAGAAAAACGAAAAAAGAAAATATTTAAAACCGAAAAAGAAAATTTCCCAATCCAAACTAGGGTTAGGGTTATCCCTAATCCGGATAACGGTTTACACATTCGATTATTCCAACTGTTAAATCAAAGATGGGCGCTAATCCCTCACCAACAGACTCAACCACCGATCTCGATGAGCAGATCTCCCAGCTCATGCAGTGTAAGCCGCTTTCGGAGCAGCAGGTACCTGTTCTTTTCTCACGATCTGCTTGTTTTCCAAGAAAGTACGGAAATATTTTAGGAATTAGCTCAGTAATATATATATATATATATATATATATATTATTGGTGAATGATCGATTAGGCTCTGTTTGGATGCGAAATGAATATCAAAATGATTTTGAATTAAATTTATTTTAATTTTTATTATTGCAATATTTAGTAATAATTCTTATTCTTTTTAAATTTTTAAGTAGAGTTACTTCAGTTAATGAATAAATAAAAAGTGCATTTCCTTTTTCATTTCAGAGCCAAAAAAAAATTCAATTTTTCAATATATTCGATTTAGGTAATTTCGAAAGAACTCGGGATGTTTGAAAAAAAAAATGTTGTGTGTTTAAACTGCTCTCATTGCCAGATTTCTTGTTTTATTTGAATTATGTCATTCTCAGTTTGATCAATGGAAGTCCTTTTCTTTTTTCCATCTTGGGCGAATATAATTGTTAGTAACTGTATTTGCTTTCGTGTTGCCTTGTTTAGGTCAGAGCATTATGCGACAAGGCAAAGGAAATATTAATGGAAGAAAGCAATGTCCAGGTTTACCATTTTATTTTTGCTCGCCTTAGTCTCTAATTCCAGTCGAAATCTTTGTTTTCCAGGATCTATATGTCTTTATTTACTGATGGATTTTGGAGATGCTGAGATTTCTCATCCTTGATAAGGGAAAATATTGATTTTCTTTTTAATTTTTGTATCACAGCCTGTGAAAAGCCCTGTGACAATTTGTGGTGATATTCATGGGCAGTTTCATGATCTTGCGGAACTTTTTCGAATTGGAGGGAAGGTACTTTTTCTGACTGACCTTATTTTGGTATTCAGTTCTTCTGTTTCAGCTGAGGGAATTTGTAAATAATTAGTTGAGACCTCAATGCTTTTGAAGATTGTAGCTCTACGAAGGTATCTTGATTGAGCGAATGTGAGTGTAATGATGATTTTTTTAATTTAGGGTTCATGTCACATTTAGTCCTTGTACTGTAAGAAAATATTTAATGTGATACCCTGTACTAAGTTCAATATGATACTTGAACTTTAGTTATGTGAATCAATTTACCCTAACCTTTAACATTGTTTTCAAAATCTATGTGTGACTAATCAATTAAAATGTGACACATGGCGGGAAAAATGTGACGTCACCCAATGAGATCATCTTAAGTTGCATGCGTGAATGACTTTATGTGTCCTAATTTTTTTAAATGAAAAATTTTGAAAATAAATTATTATTTTTTGAAAAATAAAAAATTTAAAATCCTCTCAATGAAATTTCTTTTTCTTTTCTTTCCTTCTCTCTTCTCACCCTCTTGATCGCCCATCTTAATGGGTTAATCCGGCATCAGTAGGCTGGAATCAGCTTGAAACAGGTTAATCCGCTTCTAACATGTGGTGGATCTGGTCTGTTTTCATGCCTTTTTTGGCCTATTGATGCCAGATTCGGCCTTGGCTGGCCAGATTTGGTTATTTATTGGTTGGATCCGGCTTTTAGGTGGGGGGATTGAGAGAGAGAGAGGAGAAAGGAGAGGAGAGAGAAGGAAAGAAAAAAAAGGAGAAAGATTTTTTTTAAAAATAAATGTTCTTTTTTTTTTATTTTTCAAAAAAAATGAAAGACTTTTTTAAATTTTTAAATATTTAATATTACGAATAATAAATTAAGTTGTAGAATTTGATTTTTTAATTTTTCAAACAATGATTTAAATTTTTGAAAAAAAAGAAAGGAAAATTTTTTGGAAGTTTTATTTTCATTTTTCTAAATAAAATTTTCTTTTTTCTTTTTTTCTCTTATTATATTTTTCAGAAAGTAAAATTTATTTTATAAATTTTCTATTTTTTATTTTGCAAAATATAAAACTATATTTTTAAATTTTTAATTTTTAAAATAAACAATTAAATTTTTTAACAAATGGGAGTATGGCATGTGTCTTTCCTAATCATTGACCTAAAAAGTGACTTGGCATTTTTGGACCAAATGGTGCATTTTGGTTGGTCCACTGACACATCATCTAATTTTCTTAATGGCTTTAGACATTGGCACTGTGATAAACGGAATGAAAGTTTGGATACCTCATTGAACATTTTTTTTATATAGATATCATATTAGACATTTACTTAAACTAAAGGGGCTAAATATGACATTATCCCTTTAATTTATCTTCTTTTGAATGCGTTAACTACATGTAAGCTTTTTCTCTCTAGCACTTCATGCTTTAGAGTTTTGTTTTGATCAAAATTTTCTGTTTAATATTTACCTTTTATAATTAGATAGTGTCCTTATGAATGTCATTCTGGTAATCTTAGGATGTATTACAACTTATATATGCTTGCTTTTCCTCATCTATTATACAGTTTTGCTTTGTTTTTCCTGTGCTTAGGATAAGGCTTTCTCTTGAGCTTATGCGTTACAGTTGTTTTTTTTCTTAACTGACAGTGTCCGGATACAAATTACTTGTTTATGGGAGATTATGTGGATCGTGGGTACTATTCTGTTGAAACTGTTACGGTATGTACATGATAAATCATAAAAAGCCTTTGTCTACCCTTTTTCGTGAAATTATGTTTTCAGTTTCTTCTAAAATATGGTCTAGAGGCAGAAACAGCTCACATTGTAAAGAAATTTGGGCAAGACTTTTAATGGTTTTGGCTGTTAGCTGTGTGAGTGAAATTTGGCCAGATGCTCCCATCACCACCAGAAGACAAACACCTGACTTGGTTTGATATCAGTGGCCCTTAACACTTTGACTTTGAGATGCCTTGGCCTTTTGGAATATTTCTTTTGTTGTTGGGCGAATAATACTGGTTAAAGAGATGGTGAGCTCATTAGATTTTCCTTTGGAATGGAGTTTTGGGTTTAGATTTACTGCATTTGCTCTTATCCGTCACTTTTGGTTCCCTATCTAGTGGAAGCACTTTAAATTCAGATGTAATTCAGGAGGGAAATGATGGGAAACTTATTACTAGTGGTTTTTTTCACAACTTTCCACTTTAAGGAGAGTATACTTCATGCTAGATATTTTTAAAACTCTGGAGTCAAATGGTGTTGCCTGCTGTTACTTTCTCTGTTCATAAAGATGCATATTATTATGTTCATAGAAAGCTTTGCATTAGCTGGCATAATCTTTGTTAATTGAGATCGATAACTTTAAAGATCAATAGTAAAACTTAAACCATTTATGCATTCCATTTGGATGATACTGATTTTTTACTCTTTCAGCTATTGGTGGCTTTAAAAGTCCGTTATCCACATCGGATTACCATTCTCAGAGGAAATCATGAAAGCCGCCAAGTATGAAGTTTGCATCTTCTTCCTGGGCTTCCCACACATGCAAAAGTTTGACATGATATGATGTTATATTTTGCATATCTGAGTCTTAATTCAGAGTTTGTCCAACTATAATAGTGCATGTCAAGCTAATTCTTGATTCATTCCCTTTCTTTTTGGCAGATCACTCAAGTTTATGGGTTTTATGATGAATGTCTGCGAAAGTGAGTTCTATGCACATTCTTCATTTCAAAGGCTGTAGTATTATGAGCCATAGATGTACTAGCTTTCGCGTTACTGTATGTTATTCTTTATCTTTTCAATGATATTTTTTAAACTACTCTTTATCAAATTAAGGAAATAAAGTGCTATTGCATTTGCTTCGATTGATATGATATATAAAACTAGTAGATTTGAGTTTCGGGAGATATGCCCGTCAGATAACTTGCGGTCATGTGGAGACAATATATTTGCTTCTTCCTTTTGCAAATTCGTGATAATATTTTTTCTGGTGATTTACATACAGGTATGGCAGTGCTAATGTTTGGAAGATCTTTACAGACCTTTTTGACTATTTTCCATTAACTGCTTTGGTGAGTAGAACCAATATATGGTGCATGCTAGGAAAGAAAGAACTAAGGACGTATATATCAGCATCATTGATTTTTTGATATTTGACATTTATGTTTTGCTGGGCTGGTTTTTTATTTGGCTTTGTGTGCCGACTATTGTTGTTGTTCTCCTTGCAGTTTAGTGTAGTGGTGCTATTATTATATTATAATATTAGTTTAAAATATTTATTCCTATTTCAGTTTTGGAGTTTGAAGAATTGTCATTTTGGTTGGGCAAGAAAAGTTGGGATTTAGAGCTTGCTATATGTATTCTCATTGTTAAAGCATATCAAGATCATTCTAAGCGGAAAGTAGAAGTCTCGTAGTTTCTACTTTAAAAATTGGCATTTATTATTTTCCAGAATGTCATGGAAGCGATTTGCTGTTTCTTGTGTTTATGTTCAAGCTAGACTGAAGGCACTGCTAAAAGAACATACAAATATGGTTTTCACTGCAGAAGAAGATAAATTATTTAATAATTATTGCGAAAATCAAAATTACCAACTTTATTAGTACATTGTTTTAGTCCTGGCTAAAGATATACATAGCCCTTATAATGTTCGTGTGTTAACTTTATACCTACTAGATTGAAGTGAGAATGATGGTAGTCAAAATGATTTTGTTGTCTCCGTTCACTGATGTATTGATGTTTTCTTCCTTTTAGGTGGAGTCGGAAATATTTTGTCTGCACGGAGGGCTGTCCCCTTCGATTGAAACTCTGGATAACATAAGAAATTTTGATCGTGTTCAAGAGGTTCCTCATGAAGGGCCCATGTGTGATTTATTATGGTCTGACCCAGATGATAGATGTGGTTGGGGTATCTCACCGCGTGGTGCTGGATATACTTTTGGCCAGGTACATATGTCCAAAGTGACCATTTTTTGACGCTTTAGTGTTGCCTTGGCTTTTATTTCAGTTTCTTAATAACAAAATGTGCATTCTTCTCTTCAGGATATATCTGAACAATTCAATCACACAAACAGCTTAAAATTGATAGCTAGAGCTCATCAGCTGGTTATGGATGGATTTAACTGGGCTCATGTAATCATGATTCTCAAAACTTAAATTATTATTATTTTTGCTTGTATGTCCAATATAAAGCGCTTCAGGTTTCGAATTCAAAATTATTTTTTTGGAACAGGAACAAAAGGTGGTTACTATATTTAGTGCTCCTAATTATTGTTATCGTTGTGGAAACATGGCTTCTATCTTGGAAGTTGATGATTGCCAGAGTCACACATTCATCCAGGTCTGTCTCTCTCTTCTCTCCCCTTGTCCTCTTTCTTCCCCACCCTACTCTTTTCCTTTTCCTAGCCATGTATTCACATTTGTACACAAGGTAAAAGAGCAACAGTTAAATTTTGAAATTGGATTCTTGGATGCTTTTCTGTGTGTCTGTAAAGTTGTTAAGTTCATCTTGCTGCAGTTTGAGCCGGCTCCAAGGAGAGGAGAGCCGGATGTTACTCGTAGAACGCCTGATTACTTCCTCTGAAGCAGCTATGTCATAACTGATTCAAGTTACTCTACTTTTCTACCTCTCCTCCATCGTCTTACATAGTCAGGTAGTTGCCAATCCTTTGCAGAAGTCTGTTGCATCTATCACCTGTGAGTTCTTACATGGCATGTTTTTTTGGTGATGGTGGGCACCAAAAGCATGTATGCTAGGCTAGGAAGATGGCCTTTAATCTATCGTACACTTGGATAATCTGTCAGAGAGATTGCATAGCTGATGAAAGACTTGACACTATCAGAATGTATTAATTATGTAGATTTTTTTTTTTAATTTTTTGTGTTTGCTTTGGTTTTCTGGTTCATCCTATATTTTTAGCGTCTGTACTGGAGACGGAAAAGTTCAATATTTAGTGGGTGTTATTACCTTTTCCTTTTCCTACCCAAATGAGGCTAGGCTAGTCAATGGCTATTCTGTTCTATTGTCTTATACCTAAGCTGGATTAAATTTTGAATTATGGTTCTGGTATGTTTTTCTTCTCTTTTGAATTGTTGTTGGATTCTGCGCTTTATCTTGTCTCTGTATGTACATCAGAAGACACTCCCCTCAAGTTTTGGAGGTAGTAAATCATTCATATTTATCTCAGAATAGGCAGCTAAGCTACCTGGGTTGAAATGAGTTGGATTTCATACTCAGATTATTCCATCGCCATGAAGCTATTGCATTTGGGGTGAAAGATTTCACTCTAAAATACAAAAATGGCAACGGGGATTAGTTATAGTGGAGCATCCTATAAGATTTGTTCGAGTACCAAAAATATTGCCTGCCTTGAGTTCGGGTCATCAAGTTTCCTACTTGACCAGACCTCATTCATACCAATATTCTAGTCACTATAATATACATTGCTTAATGGTGTCAATTTTATCACACTGTTAGGTTGGCTTCTTGTCTCATTTCCAAGCAAGTGGCATGTTCAGGCATTGCCCTGGGCAATTTGACAAGAGGAAGCAAAGCCCCAATTGCATATCAAGAGGAAGATTTTATTCAATTTTTAAGCCTGCAGAGATGCTTAGATAATTTAATATTACACATATCCATCGGCTGTCATTCCGATTTGATGAAGGATCACTACATGGTACATTATATTTATAATTGCAGATGATCTTTCATTTCATTAACATATAAAAAAATGGACAATTCAGTCACCGAACAAAAATGTGATTTACAAACTAGCAGCATGCCTCTCTAAAACGTGGTAATAATGTAGTACCAAGGACAAGCATCACAACCTCAGGTAAGAGAAGAGAGATGGAACAAGATCTACCACGGACCATGCTAGGCCTGCGTACTGAAGGAATCTAATACCCGTGTCAACATCAAATAAATCTTGGCGAGAGAAAAATAACATCTTTTGGACATAACTTGATTGCTTGATCTCACTGGACGTCTTCTCAATAGCTGAACCATTAAGCATTGGGATGTAGCTGGTTGATTTTGTAGGGATACCCAATGTATTTGATACTACAGGAAGGATCCATTTTGCAAGAGCCTTGCTACAGAACTTGACAATAAGGATTGTTGGTATCCCAACAAGCATTCTTCCCAAAAACGCAGGGATTGTGAGTTGCGAAGTAAATATTCGTGGAACTGCTTCATGGTGGAACTGGTGGTACGTCTGCTGGATCCCAGCAACCTGGTTTAACATTTTCACTTTAGGTTATATGGATAAATGTGAAAACATAATATTTTTTTCACCTGTAAGGGAGAAATCTATAGATTTTATTAGGTAATGCGTATGAAAATAACATAAAAATTTTGTTTCTATATGACCTTTGTTAAACAAGTCATATTATCTCAACAAATGATGTTCACTTATCAAGTAACATGCACGTCTTTGCAGTGCTACAAATATTTTGAGTTCCTATACGTTCAATGCTCAAAGCAAAGGCCTAAGGCATGATGCTAGTAATAGAGCACTTAACCTGTTTCATCTGCTGGATGGGTGCCTCACTGCCTATGCAGTGGCAGAACTGAACCCAATGCCACTCAGATGAAGCTGATCTCACTCAGTTACTTGATCTAAAGGTATTGCACTAGGTTTTTTTTCTTATATATATATATATAATTGGGAGCGGGGGAATTCGTACCCTGCTCTTTAGGTAGGGGATAAAACACCAACCAATGAGTCAAATGCTCAAATGCAAGATATTGCACTAGATTGAATAGAAAGCGTTTCATTGCATAAACAGATGCTATATCCATAACCACATTCTATACCAATAGTAAGGGCACAAAATTTACCCCCCAGTAAATTTTCAAATCATGAAGCGATTCACTATTATAATGGTATCATACACTATGCAGAATGTTGGGAAAGCACCAACCATATCACTTCAATAACTTCTTAAATACTTTTCCTCTATCCCAATGCATTTGCTCAATCTTTTCTGCGTTGGTGTATACATAGATTTCTATATATTCATACTAATAATATTTGTCAAAATGGAGAACCCTAGCTTAGAATTACTCTTGATGCATATTCTAAACAATCAAACAGCTTCAGAAATTTTCTTTGACAACCAGCATTTACATGATATCTTACTGCAGTGAGAAGTGCAATAAAATAGTGACATTTGAATTTGCCATCTAACTAGGCTTTTTGAAGGAAACAAAGGGAAATTCTCTTCTCTGTGTTAAATCATGCAAATCCTAAGTTCCCAAAAGAACTTGAGAAGCCAAAAGCTAATCTTTATTGTACTAATAGTTAAAGTCTAATATGGTAATCCCATAACCTCATATATACTTTAAAACTGCCCCTATAACATTAAATATTTACCTCTGAATATCTCTATTCCTAACCATAGATGCCAGGGTATCAGTCGTTTGTCAAGCATGAAATTCGTACATGCATAACGGTACAGACCACTTTTAACCTTTTCAGGGCACAAGCAACTGTGGCTATCTTATTAAAACATGATATTATAGTTTTTTCCCAGAGACATGCACATATTTCATATTTTCTTCAATGAAAACAATGCATCTCACAGTTGTATTTTCTTGTTTCAAGAGCCTATGATCTTAACTTTTTGCATTCAATAATGTTAATAAATTTTAAAGACAGTCATTAGTCAAAGATGCATTGCCAACAAGAATTCTGGTTATAATAGAAAATAGATTAGAATGGTTTCAATGCTATATGGTTGATCGATTACTTACAATTCCCAATGCAACACCGTTGAAGGCAGTATGGTACTCAAAACTTGGGGTTGGAAGTTCAGGAGTGGGATAAGCAAAAAGTAAGAGGAAGCTCAGTGCAGCCCAAAAGGATGTAACTACAACAGGAAAAGTAAGCATAAAAAATATAGAAAGTATATATTACATTTCAACATTCCAATATTCAATTAGAACCAGAAGTATGTATTATGTTTCAAGCATTAGAATACCAATCATACTTTGTGAGCTAAAAAGCCACTGCTCATATTAATCAACAGAACCAAGGGCAGGGAAACAGAAGACAGACTTAACTAGTCCCAAAAGCCCCATCTTTACAGGAATTACAAACTAGCCTATGTTATGGCACACAGCTTGTCTCCTTTATTTACAGAGATTTCACTCTTGCAAATGGAGTCCTTATCCCTACCAGGCCAAATTCTACAGTTGGTTTGGACCCCTATTCATCTAATTGGGTAGGTAACAATTCAACCTGCTCAAACAGACTCTTTCAGCATATGAAAGCACAAAATATGCTGACTGTAAGTTTACTTACCATTTTGTCCAGAGACAATAAAACCATCCACATATTCATGGACTGTTAGCCAGAATGCAAGAATCACCAATCCAATAGCAAGTCCACCAATGATATCAATCAAGCTATGCATGCCAAGGTAAATCCTTCCTAACAACGAAATAAAATTTGGTTTAACATTTGCTGTAAGGAAAAGTTAGAATTCTATCAAGAACTTTCTAATAAAATTAAACTTACCAACTCCAATGAGGCCCACAAGCAAGCAAGCAAAGGCAACTGCAGCAAGTACCACACAAGCATCTCTACTCTGTGTGGAGGTTAGAACATAGTGCAAAAGGTATCTGGATGCAAAGGCATAGCAACTCAGTAATGATTTCAATTCTCAACCAAATACAAACTGATGAATTGACAAGTAAAAATAGAAGATTTCTTTATTCATTATAAAGGGTTGGCAATCCATCAGATCCAAGGCTTTTCTTTTAGTTTTTCCTTTCTTTTCCTGTCCTATCAACACATGAGAATTGCTTTGAGCTTGATAACAATGTATATACTTTATTCCTGTGATTCTTGAGGCATAGGACTTCCAAGGTTTCTTGACCAATATTGAAGGGTTAATGAGCAAGTCACACTCACAACTTGTTGATATCCTTGAAGCACTTTTGACCACAATTTAATAGTTGTCTCAATAACACTATTTTTCAAAAGAGCCATTTATGAGAACAAAGTACCGATAAAAGGTGAACCGTATCAGCTAGAACAGCGGCACGTAAAAAAGTTAATGTAAATAGGAAACTTCAATACCCTGATAAGCATACTGTGTTGAGAGTATGAGAAGAAGGCAATCCATATTCCAGCGCATTATCTTCTTCATCTTTTGTGGCCGTTATCCTTCTAACAGGTGGGCAACTGGGTCTAGGAGCTGACACCACATCCTAGAAACCATACAGACCACCAAAGCAAAAACCAAACAAAGTATCAACTTTATGGATTCATTCAAAACATTAAACAAGAAGAGAAGATAAAAATATGTAAGGAGGAGAAAAGAATAACCTTTATGCAGTTGCCCATATAATCACAGAAAGCCATCAACAATGTCATCTGCCTAGCCAATTTTCCATGCCCACTCTAAAAAACATCATCCAAGAAAAATACCCAATATGAAACAATTCATATCAGAAGTAAACACAAAGAGAGAGAGAGAGGAGAGAGAGAGAGGAGAGAGAGAGAGAATACCCAGAAAAGCAAAGGAAGGAAAGCAGTGTAAAAAGGCACAGAAACTATAGAGGACAAGACAGAAAAGAGACCATCCCAGAGTTTATGCTGATGTTTCTGTCAAAAAAAGAAACCCACCAGACCAAAGACAATTAGAATGACGCAGAAAAGCTTAAAAGCCAACAAAGAAACAAAAAAAAAATGGCAATCTGGTATTGTTTCTTTGGGTCCAAACCTGGATCTTGAGGATGATAGAAGTGCCTTTACAACACGGTGAAGCACCCGAGGTTGTAGCAAAGATCTAATCTTTTTGGTTACATTGAAATATGTAGATATAACAATCCATGAAAAAATTCCACATAAAGCCACCCCTTGCCACGCTGCTATGCTCTCCATTTAATCTCTCCTCCTCTTTCCTTTCCCTTCTTTTCCCTCCTGCAAATGGCGGATCAGAAGAAGAAACAACAGAAAACAGAAAACAAAAATTCGTATTTCCAAAGTCTGTAACTTTCAAACTACTATTAAAAAGACTTGGACTTGGGGAGGAAACTTAGGAGGCA